TAATGCACGCGTTTTTTTTCTTTTTACACACAGCGAAATTTTCATTCGTCCTCACACACGCCATTTTTAAAAACACGGGTCATTTTTAACACACACGTCGTTTTAAACACACGCGTCATTTTTAAAAACACACGCGTCATTTTTAAACACACACGTCATTTTTAAACACACACGTCATTTTTAAACACACACATCATTTTTTAACACGCACGTCGTTTTTAAACACACGCCATTTTTTAAAAAATCCACATCGTTTTTAAACACACGCCATTTTTAAAAACACACACGTCGTTTTTAAACACACACAACATTTTTAAACACACACGTCATTTTTAAACACACGCCATTTTTAAAAACACACACGTCATTTTTAAAACACACGTTCTTTAAAACACCCATGCCATTTAATATACACACATGATTTTTTAAAGCACAAACCATTAAAACGCACAGTCATGTCGTTTTTTTAAAATGCACACATCATTTTAAAACACACACGCCACGGCCTCCAATACGTACGTACTTTTGAATTATTAGTACGTTTTCTTCTAGTATACACAAAATAATAAATTTACATTCCGCGTCTCGTACTATAGATAGTGCCCTCTGGAGACCTGGACCCAACCCTACCATCTTTTTTCTCTATGACTGACAACCTCCCTTAGAGAAATCATGAAAAAAAAAAATTTCTGACATCACCTCACTAAAAGTTTCTAATGGTCTATTCCTAATAAGCAAAATCAACTGCATGTTTCCAGATTATATTATGACCTAAATAACACATGGAATAGGAATTTGTATCCAAGCTAAACCTGTCTATATGTAAACACAGTGGAGTGAGAGTGAATCGTTTTATCACAGTGTATTTTAAGAATGTAGTAAACTTTTGTTGGGCAAAACAGAAAAAGATTGATAAAAAAAATAATACTGATTGACTAACGATTTTTCTATCGAAAAATTATGAAAACACTGATGTCAACGTTAATTATGTCACATGACTGCTTACTGAACTGAATTAACTTTTCTTCCCTTTTCCTAAAAGTTGTGAATATTATCTGCTAAAGTTATTTAAGTACCGGTAATCTAATTCTCGACAAAATATATGAATTTTATGTCATATATGACCTATGATGAAAGAAAACAAGCATGTCAGAGATATTTTAGCTGTCATATGTTAAAAGTCCAGTCATTCAACAAATACATCCATTTTAGATGATTGTACATTGAATGCTTTGTAATGACAGTGATAGATTGGTTTTATTCACTTCAATGTAAACAATAATTACATAGGTCTGCTAAGTCTGAAATATCGTGTGTAGTGTTTTCATTGGCTTGGTGTCTTTCCTATTGTTTTGTAGTCTGAGTAGTTCTGAGATTTTGCTTCAAAAACGAGTTAAACATTTCAAAACTCCAACAACTTTACAAAGCCATGCAAGAAATTTGAAAACGTATATCAATGATCATAATGCAATACTTATTTTGTGTCAGAGAGTTTTGATGACAAACTTAAAGATGAGAAAAAATAAAAAAGGTGATAAAGGTTTATTTAAATCAGCTGGCAATTTCTTTCAAAAAACTGACTATAGCAGTTTTGTAATCAAAACATAAAAATATTTACTTATACCAACTTTTTCAATAAAGGGTAAGCATGACTTCTACCCCAAACC